TTCTTGGCCATCTGGGCACACTGCTGGCTCATATTCAGCCAGCTGTCGACCAGCACCCCCAGGTCTTTTTCCACCAGGCAGCTTTCCAGCCACTCTTCCCCAAGCCTGTAGCATTGCCTGGGGTTGTTGTGACCAAAGTGCAGGACCCAGCACTTGGCCTTGTTGAACCTCATACAGTTGGCCTGGGCCCATGGATCCAGCCTGTCCAGGTCCCTCTGCAGAGCCCTTCATTAATGATCTGGATGATGGGGCAGAGCATATCTGCAACAAATTTGCTGATGACACCAAACTGGGATGAGTGGCTGATAGACCAAAGGGACCTCGAAAGGCAGGAGAAAGGGGCTGACAGGAACCTCATGAACTTCAACGAGAGGAAGTGCAAAGCCCTGACCCTGGGGAGGAACAAGCCATTGTGCCAGCACAGCTTTGCAGAAAAGGCCCTCAGGGTCCTGGTAGACAGACATGAGCCAGCAACGCACCCTCATGGAAAAGGGACTAGCAGCATCCTGGGCTGCAGGTCAAGGGACCCGATCCTTCCCTCTATTCAGCACTGGTGAGGCCACAGCTGGAGTGCCGTGTCCAGTGCTGGGCTCCCCACTATGAGAGAGATGCTGACATGCTGGAGAATGCAACAAAGGGCCACTAAGACAATGAAGGGACTGGAGCATCTCTCCTATGAGGAAACACTGAGAGAGCTGGGACTGTTCAGCCAAGAGAAGAGAAGGCTCAGGAGGGATCTCATCAATGCGTATAAATACCTGAAGGGTGGGTACGAAGAGGACAGAGCCAGACTCTTCTCAGTGGTGCCCAGTGACAGGACTGGAGGCCACGGGCATGCACGGAAACACAGGAGGTACTGTCTGAGCAGAAGGAAACACTTCTTTGCTGTGAGGGTGACTGAGCACCAGCACAGGCTGTGGAGTCTCCCTCCTCGGAGATATTCCAAAGCTGTCTGGACATGGCCCTGGGCAACTGGCTCGGGGGGACCCTGCTCGAGCAGGGGGGTTGGACCTCCAGGGATCCCTGCCAACCTCAACCATTCTGTGATTCTGCATCTTCCTGAAGCTCTAAGAATCCATTACGAAGGTAACTATCCAAACCCAGCTAATGGTAACAGCTCCTGTAACAAAGCCACGCTTACACGGAGCACTAACTCTACCTAATAATACAGGAATAATGCCTACATTAGCACTACTTTTACCAACTGAGCTCTGGAGTTTTTGGTGCAGGGAAAAGAAAAGGCCTGAGTGAAGAGAGAGGAGTAATGGGAACCTCTGTGGCTCGGTTACTTATGTGGATACGGAGCGGTAATTTCTGTTCCCTCACAACCTCATTCCCCTTGGAGGTGGCAGCTCTCCCCGCTGTTGTTCCGGCTGCTCGCTCTGCTATGATTTCATCTGGACACCCTGTATTGCAGACAACTGTGACACATGCAGAAGGATAATGCGTCATAACAACTGCAAGGCACACGTTGCCCAGTGAGTCAGACAGCAAGCAAACACGAGAGAAGGAAGCTAACGCCGAGACTGACACCGCGATGCTCATCTGAGCAAGTTATTATTGTATATACTCACTCAGCTAAATACTGCTGCTCTGGAGAAACATATGGTCCCTACTGCAGTAAGGCTTTTCCTTGGCTCAGAAAGAAGATCCTTTAAAATAAAAAAATTCAGCCTACAACTTTTTTAATACCAAAGCTCTGTATTATGTAACCTTAGCAAGAAGTTGAGAGTAAAAAATCTTTAAATCACTGCACGTCATTCAAAACGTACTACCCGTTTTGGACTGAACGTTTTACCATGCTGCCCTTCATCACTGACACAGTAAAACCTCAAAACGATGCAGAATTTATTCAGATAAAACCCCACTCACTCTGTGAAATTAAGATTAAGCTTAAGCATTTTAGACGCACTAGCCAGCTAGTGCTGGTCAAGAAGAAATGAATTACTGTGAAAAACAACCAAAGTTTAACGTTGTGTCAAACAACACATTGAAATTCACATTCTCTATGTCCTAGGAAAATACATGTCCATCCTGTCCCATTTTATTTTCAGCTGTTTCCCAGCAACACAGGACTATGAACCTAGCTCAGTGCCCCGCAAGACATGCACCACTACTCGTAAAGACGGCAGAACGCGCAAACACATCGTTTGGTTTGAGAGACGGGCGCGAAAGGGGAGAAGAGCTCCCAGGCTCAGGGCCAAGGCCGCGGCAGGAGAGGAGCGGCAGGGGCAAGGGCAGCAGCGGCAGGGGCCGC